TTTCAGAGCTTGGGGCTTACACAGCCAAAAGCATGACCACTGATGGTGAAGCAATTAAAACTGAGGCTGCCCAAGAGTCCAGAATTTGATGAGTGCAGTACCTTGGAGGGTTGCGGATCTGGACGAAAGAGTGAGGCCAAGGGAATTTGGAAACAGGAATGGGAATTGTTTAAATGAGTGCCAGTGTAGATCAGCAAACACAGTGTGATAGGGAATTGCACCTTGCTGTGAATTAAGAAATGGGCAGCAGAGTTTTGGATGACCTCATGTTTACAGAGGTTGGAATGTGGAAGATCAGCAAGGAGAGATCAGAAACAAGGATTTCACATTTTTAGCATGCCCCAAAACTTTTGACAATCAATTAACTACAGTCCTTTCTGCTATTATGCGTGTTTCATCAACGCGAATTGGCTATAACACGATTGATGAATAGGTGTACACTGTTTATGAAGTGCACACTTTCACATACATGAGTTGGCTATTACGCAATTCCATCCCCAACACTTTAAGTGTTGCGGTGCTCAGAGGAATACAATGTTTACGCCAACAGAGTCCCTGCGTCGACATCACATGTTCAGTTGACTCACGTGCTTTGTTGTGAAGTGCTTTTTGAAAGGTACTCCGTAATTTCCGTTCTTTTTCTTTGCAAATTTTGCTATGTTACCCATAATTAAGGGAGGACACAGTAAAGAAATGTTTACAAGAAGCATACTAATGATAAAATTGCAGGTGGTGAATGTAAAAGAAAGGCTATAATACTTGAAGAGAACTTGGATGTTATAAAGTGTTTTGAACATAATGAAAGAACGTGTGATATTGTTCATGCAACAGGAATAAAGGATTCTACATTACGCACCATTAGAGAAAACATAGAAAAAATTAAAGCAAGCTGCATTGCTGGAACAAACCTGAGTGCTAGCAAATCTGTGAGATCACGGCCAAAGGAACTTGAGGAGATGGAGTGGCTTCTAAGAATGTGGATAGAGTATTAAATGGAAAAGGAATCTGGGACCAGCTTTCACACCATAAAAGAGAAAGCCTTATCAATTTATGAAGCCCTAAAGAGAAAAGCTGAAAATCCTGCGGATGTGCCGGTCTTTAGTGCTGCTAGTAATTGATTTGCTGGTTATACGGACCACTTTGCTTTTCATAACGTAACATTACGTGGTGGAGCTGCCAGTGTAGACGAGGAACGTGCAATGAAATTTCCTCCATTAGTGAAAAAATTGATTGAGGAAGAAGGCTACAACTTAGATCAAATTTTTAATTTGGATGAGACAAGTTTATACTGGAAGCGAATGCCATCAAGAACCTACATTTCTAAGAATGAAGCACACACTCTAGGCTTTGAGGTTGCAAAGGATTGTATGTCTGTGCTGCTGGGTGCCAATGCTGGTGGAGACTTAAAGCTTAAGCCTGTGGTGGTGTACCACTCTGCAAACCCACGAGGTCTGAAAGTTTACCTTAAGTCTACTCTAGGTGTCTACTTTAGGTCAAGCAAAAGAGGTTGGATGATGGGGCAAATTTTTTCTGACCTTATTGTTGATGTTTTCGAACATGTTTTTAGGAATTATTGCAAGGAAAAGAATTTGGATTTTAAGATTCTCCTCATTCTGGATAATGCACCAAGCCATCCTCCCACCATTGGTGAGCTTTCTGGAAGCATCAAAATGCTATTTCTACCTCTAAATACAATCTCTTTCCTTCAACCCATGGACCAGGGTGCAATAGCAGCTTTTAAAGCTTATTGTTTAAGGCGCACATTTGAGAGGCTGATTGCAGCCACTGAGGGGGACAAGGACAGTGTTCTTCAATTTTGGAAGAGCTTTAACATCAAGAATGCAATTGACATTATCATGGAGGCCTGGAGTGATTTCAGTAAGGACTGCTTGCATGCAGTTTGGCAGGAGTTTCTCCCAGGTTTTTTCAAGATTTTAAAGGCTTTGATCCATCAGAGGAGCTCCCAAGAATCAAAGAACATTGTGTTGATCTTGCAAAGCAAGTTGGATTTGAAGAAGTGAAGAGTGAGGATGTTGAAGAACTGCTTGAGTCCCATTGTGAAGACCTCTCCACAGCGGATCTACAACAACTTGTCACTGAGGGGGAAATGGAAGCTGGAGATGAAGAAGATGAAGTCCAGGATGCAGCACCACAACAGCTTTCCACTTCTCTTTTGTCTTCTATCCTGACGGAAGTTGAGAAGCAGTTGCAGCTCTTAGAAGGCGCTGATTAAATTGCAGAACACAGCAGGATAGCAGTTCGTGGAGTAAGGTCTTATTAGGCACACTATGAACAGCCCATTTGTGAAAGAAGGAAAATGGCAAAGCAGCAAAAACTAGATGCCTTTTTTAAACCAATCCTCAAGAAACAGTAACAAGACAATGAAATACAGCCACCCACTTCTGGATTAACTATTTTTCATCCTAACCCTGCAACCACAACTGCACCTGAAGGTCTTGATGATGATGACCCTCAGCCCCTGTCTTACAACCCATCAACCTCAAAACCACCCTCCTCCCCCCTCAAGTTATCTTCAATTTTTTTTCAAGGTAGTGTTAAATTTAATGTATTATTTCATTATTTGATCTTAATTTAACATTTATTTAAACTGTGCTAACCTTTGTGTTAGGCCAACTACTATATTTGTTTCAATTTTGAGTAATATTTTTGGTGGTCTGCCCCAACCCTATTTTTTCCATAAGCCCCATTATTTTTATTGCACGATTTTCTATCGAGTGAGGTCGCACAAGAGTGCAACTATTGTGATATAGCAGAAAGGACTGTACTTTAGAATCCATTTCCTTTGGTTATGTACATAAATACAGCAACTAATTTGCTCTCAACAAAGTCTGGCACTCAGCAATGAAATTAATTGCTGATTAATTTGTTTCACTGGTAGTAGTCAAGGAATAAATATTAGCAGTGAGCTGGGAGACCTTTCTCTTGAAAACGTGCCAAGAAATTTGTCAAATGCAGCAGAGAGGGCAAGCATATCTCAGTTCAACATTTTATTAGAAAGATGTGGTAATTAGTGCAGAAAGAAATTTGACATGAGGACATTAAGTGACCCTATGAAAGCAGTACCAATCGTAATGTCAAAAGTTATTTTACTTTCCATTTTCCTTCTTTGTACATTTCACTGAGTTGCCGATCAATATTAGGATTTAGAAATAATTTTTGTTAGCAGCTGGACATATAATAATAGGTAAGTAAAGGCCAGCTGAGCTTAAGCATGAGCCACCCTAGCATGGAATACATTCTGCACAAGATAACCTTCATTACATCCCCTGACAGTCACACAATCTCCAGGGAAAGATGAAAAAAAGAGATAGGCCTTTTTGCCAACTGAGGAAAAAGCACTGGAAAAATATTTTCTGACACTCAATGCCAATCAAGCAAGCTTCGTGAGCTGATGGTTACTGAGTGATACAACCTCCAGTGATCTACTTATTCACTTTAAATACATTAAGCAGACCATTCTCAGGAACAGAACCAGCCCCCTTTTTAATGCTTGTAGTAATAATTGTTGCCTGTGCTAGCAATGATTCATGGGATCGATGATCCTCAAAAAAAAATCCCCAGCATGTAGTTTAGTTCAAAGCATACATAACTCACGTCCCCACCCCTCCCTAATCTATCAAGTTTGAATCCATATAGATTGAGTCTAATTATTTTCTTAAATCTGTGAGCTGTTAAACACTGTGATCACCCTCCCATAAATGTTTTCCCGTACTTCTATATCCTTCATGATTTGAAGAAATCAAACAGGATGTGACCTGACACAGATGAAGAATTGTATTGCTTGTTTAATATTTAATTGTGCTGACATTGCACCCTATCTACTTTTGCAATAATGTCACAGTACTTGTCAGCAACCTTCAATGAATCATGCAACAAATACTTTACTCAGTGTCAGAATTCAAGCCTTAATTGCAACCTTTGCCCTTTTCCTCACAGCTATATGCTTTTGCTTTTGGGACAATATGCTTTTCCAAACAATATCAATAGCTCATTAAAATTTTAAAAGTACATGAGACAACAACTTAAATTTGCCATTACATAAAGTGCAATATTGTTCTTGCATTACAATATGTGACCCTCTGAGGTACCTCAGTACAGTTATAGTTAGTACAGGTTGTATTTACAACATACATTTCACATACTTGGTAGGATGGCCTTAGACAGTGGCTATCTCCACTGAAGCTTTGTAGTGGCTGACCCAAACTTCAGACTCTTGGCACATGGTCCTGGACCTTGTAATGTGCTAGTCTGCAACATTCTGCCTTGGGCAGCTCTTCGGGCTGGAAGACCAATAGGTTTCAGGCCGACGAAAGGGAGTCTTTCACTGAACCTAGTGGCAGTTCATGATTGTTTGGGAAAAAGATATTAGCTCACAATGTAGTTCTTGATTGCAAGACAGATTTCCATTTGTGCAGATCCATACTCAAAGCTGAAAACACTACCCGTTAAGTATACTCTGTTGCTTGTGAAAGAATGAAAAAATACAGTCTAAGTCTCTTACTTTGCTGACAGTGGTCACTTTGTGAAATTGTGTTAGACTGCTTTGTGCTAGTTGAGTGGGAGAGAATTAATGTAGTGTTTGGAATGTATGACACACCACATAGTACAGACCAATTCAGTGCATTACTTTAATCTTAAATTTACATTGGTGAAATGATCTGAAAAGAAAAATGTAACAATGGTCTTGGTCTGTGTTTTTTTCATCAATACAGCGAATGAAAGAAGGCATAGAAGGAGGTTCTTTGCTAATGCTGGCTGCCTCCACCATTGGTGTTTGTTTAATCCTGTGGTTTCAGTTGGATGATTTAGTGCTGATAAGGTTTTACGTTTAGCTCCTCCCTCAGACTCAAGTTGCAACAGGTTAGTGATTTTCAGGAGTGTGCACACTGGAGACAGTGAATTTGAACAACTCAGCTGTTTATTTGCTGTAGATTACTGGAAAACAGCTCTTCAAAAATAGTTTTTGTTATATCTTCTAGATTTTTCCTGAAGGAAAGCTTAATTATGGCGATTTAGAGGTTTGTTAAAGGTACGTTTGACATAATCAGGTAAGGATATTTCGATTCCAACCATATATTCACTTTGGCTTCTTAAGGATTGTTTGCCTTCCCAGATCGGGCACACCTTTGGGTGTAGTTTTACTATGTCTCTGCCAGTTCACGTCACTGCTTCAAAGTGAAGCTGATAAAATAACTTTAGACATTTTAATGCACAGGCAGTTCGTAAGGTCAGCAGTTCTTGGTGGTCCTGGTATATACCATGGCTGTGTTAAAACAGTAAAAGAATAGTTCTGAAGTTATCGTAAATCTGATTTATGACAAACAAGTGATTGCAGTAACAACATTTAAAGATAGATGTATTTTCTTTTTGTCTGTGAAATGAACATCTGAATGTTTGAACTGCCTGTTTTATTCTGGAAAGTGGTAAAAATTGAAAGAGAAACAAAGAATTCAAGATAGCCTGTTCAGGAATGATATACAGTATCAAAACAGCAAATTAACTTTAGGTAGGTCTGTTTTGCTGATTATAACTTAAGTTATGTGAAGCATAGGGAATGAATCTGGGATTCCTTTATTGGAAATTTGATATTAACTTTGTTTCAGTATTTTAAATTATTTGTTATTCATATTTGCTTAAATGCTGTTTTAACTATTAACACACTTGAATGATAAAGCTCCAAGACTAATTAACCTGACAGGACACAATGTCCAGGCATACTCAAGGTAATGCTCTCTTTGTTGAGGTGTTGCCCTATTTCTTACTGAACAGCAGCCCAAAATGAGTCACTGTTTTCAGGAAAGGGAGGATGAAGGTTGGATGATAAAATTTGGTGAATTATACAATATTTAGGTTCTATCTCTGTGAGTTGGCGAATGCAATGCATTTCCACTTATAAAGAAATGTTTTTTTCCAAAATACTTACTATTTTAAGTTGTGTTAAATACTATTTTCTGTGATAATGGAAAGCTTCAGACAGTTATAATGATGGCTTGATGTCAGGGGAACCATCTTGAAAGTCTGTTTAAATTGCAAACTCAAACCTAGACATCTGTATGATGATTCTTTTGAGTAATAGTTGGCTACTGACTAAACAATGATTCAAGTGAATGAGTAAATATACTGTTACAATCACATTTACAAATACTTTGGAATGACCATGTTGTAATCTCTGACGAACGCATGGCTAAGAAATAGTTGACACTGGACCATTAAAAGGTAATGGCATTGTATTCTGCTACTAACACTAATTGATTTTTTCTAAGTCAAGCCAGAGACATACTATCAGTGTAAATTAAAAACCATAATGACAGGAGTCACAACCATTTAAATTACAGGGTTAATTAATGCAGCTAATGTCTGGTGATTACTATTTTTAACAATTGCTTAACAAAATAAACAGCAGGGATCAAAAGGTGATATTTTATGGCCAATTATTTGTAAGCACTTAGCACCAGCATTATGACTTGGGTTTGTGTGTATCAAATAATGTGTATTGTTTTACGAAAGCATAAGCCTCGTCAGGAATTTTTTACAACCCCAGCAAGGGTCAGTCGCTCAAATTCATGAGGTCACAGGGAGCAATCTTTTTTTGTGTGGGCAAGGGCTCTCTTGGTGCTGGGATTGCCTGCTTCCTACACCACCATAGCAAAACCATGAAATGATTATTTCCTGCCACCTCTCCTCTCACTGTAATGACTTATTTCTTGCTGTTTGTGCAACAGCATTTGAAAGCAGAAAATTTGCAGGGATCAATCCTGTGTTAGCCATATGTCAAACAGAGGCCACAATGTGAATTAGAAGTGCTAAGTCATCACATCTGTTTGCTCTTTTTTGGTGGCCACTGGTGGGGGAGGGGGATTCCATGGCAGCAGTTTGCTATATGATATCTTGGAAGCTTTGTGAATGAATAGGAGGGGTTGTAAAAGTGTAGGTCCCACCCATGATATTTGAGTGCTCTTAGAGCATCTGTGGATCACTATTCTTTATACATTGACACTGTGGCATTTTTAGAATGGTGTCTGTTATATAATTTATGTTAAAACTTCAGAACAACAACACTATTTTCTTATAAATGTCCAGAGCTTTCCAAATTGTCAAAGAATCACAGAAGCACAAAACTTTTGTGGCACAGAAGGAGGCCAATATGCCCAGCATGCTCGCAACAGTTCTTCAAATGAGCATTGCTTCCTATTATCAATCTCCTGCTTTGCCCCCATACCTTTGCATATTATTTTTATCCAAATAATTGTCAACTTATGTCTCAATTGAACCTACTTCCACCACACTTCCTTGCAAAGCATTCCATACCCTAACCACTCACTGAGTGAAAAGATTTTAGCTCGTATCACCCTTGATTCTTTTGCAAATCTCTTTAAATCCATGCCCTCTGGTCCTTGTTCCTTTTTATAAGCAGAGACAGTTTCTCCTAATCTACATAGAACATTGAGCCAAAGGTGGAAATCTTGGTTAAAGAAATAGGTTTCGGGCAATCTGTTTAATGGGGTGGAGTGATTTAATAAAAAGCATTCCAGTGTGTGGAGCTCAGGTAGCTGAATTGGCAAGGCTCCCAGTCATAAGACAAAGGGAACAGGTAAGTTCAAGAGTTCAGAGTTATAGAAACAGAAGGCTTGGGGTGGGAATCGTAAGGCTGGATGATGGTACAGTGATGGGGATGGGCAAGATTTTGTATTTGAGGTGGCAAAGCACCAATGTAAGTCAGTGAGGACAGAGGTGAGGGGTAAGTGGAACTTATAAGTTAGAAAATGGGCACCAGAATTTTGGATAAGTTTTGCAGAAGTTTGTTTTTGGCAAGATAGAGAAAGAAAGGTTAACAGGAGAACTGTGTCTGCAGCTGATAATGACATGGACGGAAATTACTATTTTGGGTGAGCTCTGGGTCGTTTTAATATGTTAATTATGTTTACAGAGCAAAATTGTTGACTTTGCATTAGAGGTGATGGCAGCCAGTCTTTGGCATTAAAGTAAGTAAGAGGAAGGGACTGACAATAAGACATAGCAGCAGAGGTAGTCCTTTGACCCATCAAAACTGTTCTACCATGTAAATAGATCACAATTCACAAAACACTAGCATCCAGTTTCAACAACTAATCGGGATGGCAAATGGCCTTTGTTTCAAAAGAAATTTGAATGTAAAAATAAATGGCACAAGGCACTAATCAGACTACTGCCGGAACACTGTGAACAGTTTTGGTACCCTTAGTTAAAGAAAGTATACTGGCTTTGGAGGCAGTCCAGAGAATGTTCACAAGGTTAATGCTGGTACGGAGGGACTTTCTTATGAGGAGAGATTGAGTAGGTTGAGTTTTATCCATTGGAGTTTAGAAGAATGAGAGATGACCTTTTTGAAACTTAGAAGATTCTTGGAAATAAAGACCATTTGCCTTCCCTATTAACTATCGTACTTGGATGCTTTTTTTGTGATTTATGCAAAAGGACTCCCATATCCTACTGTGGTGCAGCTTTCAAATAATGATATTCAGATATTATCAATAATATTCAGCTCTTCTATTCTTTCTGCTAAAGTTCATAACTTTAAATTTACCCACATTAAATTCCATCTGGCAGGTTTTTGGCCCTCACTTAAACTATCAATATCCCTCTGTCAACTCCTACTCTGTGGTCCTGACTACCTGCCTCCCCACCCATTTTTGTGTCATCTGCAAATTTGGCCAGAATACATTCACTTCCGTAATCCAAATCACAGAGTTTGAAAAGGACAAAAATGAAGAATGCATTGCAGTTAGAGTCAAAAAAGAATGTATTAAGAACATAAGCAGCTTGCATGGATAAAAGAGTTGATTTATTGGGGGAATGGTTGATTAAGATAATAATTTTTAAATGGAGTGAAGAGCACATAAGGAAAGGAAACTGTTTACTTGTATGCCTTGGGATCAGGAAACAAACTCAGGTGGTCAGCAGTTTAATAGGAATGGAGTCAAGGTGTTTAAATTGGAAGAAAAGAGCAGAGTGTATGTGTGGAGATGGAAGAGAAGTTCGAGAAAGATAAGGGTCCAAGATGAAGGAAGATGTGGGGAGAGAAGAAGAGGCAGATGAATAGCAAAGAAATTCATGAACGGTCTGCACTGTTGTTGGAGTTGAGAATAGAAGAACAGAGGAGAGGGATTATGGAAAATGCTGTTTGTTGTTGAAAGATTGCCAAGGGTTATCTTTGCCCTCCAGATTAATTCTGGATTAGTGAAGGATTTTGACAGAGAAGAATGAATTCCAGGAATGTTTAATATGTCCCAGGAAGATCTTGTGGTGGATGCCAAGTCTGTACCTGTTGAATTTGACGGACTGAAAGCTGGAACAACATCATATGGAATTATGGGAGAGAATGATGGGGCACATTGGGCATAGATTGTAACGTGGGAGTAATTGAACAATTTGATGCCTCCAGAATTATTATGATGAATGGAGGGCCAAAGGTCAAGAATATAATTTGAAATTATAGTTGTAACTGCCTTGGGACAGCTTTGTTTTCAAATACAGAAAGAGTAGGAATTTTAAGAAGTTAGAAGTATGTGGGTAATGAGGTAAATAAGAACATAGTCACAGATGGCCTTGGTGAGTGATCACATCCATGGGAGTAATTAAATCATGGCAAATGGCAACTTTTGAGATGGTGGCCATGAGACGCATTGGAGAGCTTGTATGGAAGAGTTTTAGGGACTTCAGGAAGGCAGTGAATTCAAAGTCAGAGGACAAATGAGACTATCATAGAGCTTGAGATGATTGAGGATGAGGATTTGACCAGTACAGAAGCCAAGGAAAGAAAGAAATAAAGGAGAAAGGACAGATACCTGAGGCATCAGTGGTCTCGCCTGCTGGCTGGAGAGCCAGTGAGAGATCCATTCTGCCTCTTTTTGGGAAGGCACAAGCTAGTCAGGCAGTGGCAAGACCAGCAGTAGGTTTTCCTCTGGAATCAAGATCACGAGGGTCACTCATTAGCCAGCAGCTCTTGTTTTCAGCAGCACCTCTGGGGAGGTCACGCTGTTCCTGGATGGA